AGCTCGGAGTGCAAGACCCTGTTGGATTTTGGGATCCCGCTGGCTTCACCGCAGACGGCAGTGTGGAGAACTTCAAGCGCCGACGCCAGACCGAGCTGAAGCACGGAAGAATTTCCATGCTCGCGACAATGGGATATATTACGCCAGAGCAACTTGATGGCGCGAAGTGATGTCTGCATAGATGGCATGCACGGGGTGTAGCTTCTGACAGACATCACCATGCATGCATGGAATCTTGATGTATTGTTGCATGCTAGCTTAGCATTGCGTTCTGTAGCTCTGGATCTTGTTTAGTATTCCAGCAAGGATCACGGGCAAGTTCCCTGGGTATCTTTCACCGAGCGCTGGCCTTAAATTCGCGGACGTCCCCAATGGCCTCGCTGCGATCTCCAAAGTTCCTGCCGCAGGATGGGGTCAAATCCTTGCGTACATGGCATTCTGCGAGGTTTCTCAGGACCAGTCGCCCGGCACCCCAGCTGCAGCGGGCGACTTCGGCTTCAAGGTCTTGACCTCCAGCGACCCTGCTGAGAAGACTAAAAAGTTGTCGGCCGAGCTCGCAAACGGCAGACTCGCGATGATGGCCATCATCGGAATGTTCTTCCAGGCATCAAGCGAATGATTGCACATGTTCGTTTGCATGTTGCTCATGTCACACAGTCGAACACATGCCGACAAGTGCGGTGCTGTGTTTACTTATTTTTACTAACATGCCTTCGCAGTTGTCACGGCGACATGCAGCCAATGCTTAGAGTACAACTGTGGTGTGGATGTTGGCGACAGTTGAATCGATGTTTATGTTGCGTGTAGGACGGTCTGACCGGAAGCGCCTGGGGAGACTGGGCCAATTACACCGCCTCGCCTCTGCGTGCGTTCGAGAACGAGCTCGGAGTGCAAGACCCTGTTGGATTTTGGGATCCCGCTGGCTTCACCGCAGACGGCAGTGTGGAGAACTTCAAGCGCCGACGCCAGACCGAGCTGAAGCACGGAAGAATTTCCATGCTCGCGACAATGGGATATATTACGCCAGAGCAACTTGATGGCGCGAAGTGATGTCTGCGTAGATGGCATGCACGGGGTGTAGCTTCTGACAGACATCACCATGCATGCATGGAATCTTGATGTATTGTTGCATGCTAGCTTAGCATTGCGTTCTGTAGCTCTGGATCTTGTTTAGTAGTTCCAGCAAGGATCACGGGCAAGTTCCCTGGGTATCTTTCACCGAGCGCTGGCCTTAAATTCGCGGACGTCCCCAATGGCCTCGCTGCGATCTCCAAAGTTCCTGCCGCAGGATGGGGTCAAATCCTTGCGTACATGGCATTCTGCGAGGTTTCTCAGGACCAGTCGCCCGGCACCCCAGCTGCAGCGGGCGACTTCGGCTTCAAGGTCTTGACCTCCAGCGACCCTGCTGAGAAGACTAAAAAGTTGTCGGCCGAGCTCGCAAACGGCAGACTCGCGATGATGGCCATCATCGGAATGTTCTTCCAGGCATCAAGCGAATGATTGCACATGTTCGTTTGCATGTTGCTCATGTCACACAGTCGAACACATGCCGACAAGTGCGATGCTGTGTTTACTTATTTTTACTAACATGCCTTCGCAGTTGTCACGGCGACATGCAGCCAATGCTTAGAGTACAATGTGGTTTTGATGTTGGCGACAGTTGAATCGATGTTTATGTTGCGTGTAGGACGGTCTGACCGGAAGCGCCTGGGGAGACTGGGCCAATTACACCGCCTCGCCTCTGCGTGCGTTCGAGAACGAGCTCGGAGTGCAAGACCCTGTTGGATTTTGGGATCCCGCTGGCTTCACCGCAGACGGCAGTGTGGAGAACTTCAAGCGCCGACGCCAGACCGAGCTGAAGCACGGAAGAATTTCCATGCTCGCGACAATGGGATATATTACGCCAGAGCAACTTGATGGCGCGAAGTGATGTCTGCGTAGATGGCATGCACGGGGTGTAGCTTCTGACAGACATCACCATGCATGCATGGAATCTTGATGTATTGTTGCATGCTAGCTTAGCATTGCGTTCTGTAGCTCTGGATCTTGTTTAGTAGTATTCCAGCAAGGATCACGGGCAAGTTCCCTGGGTATCTTTCACCGAGCGCTGGCCTTAAATTCGCGGACGTCCCCAATGGCCTCGCTGCGATCTCCAAAGTTCCTGCCGCAGGATGGGGTCAAATCCTTGCGTACATGGCATTCTGCGAGGTTTCTCAGGACCAGTCGCCCGGCACCCCAGCTGCAGCGGGCGACTTCGGCTTCAAGGTCTTGACCTCCAGCGACCCTGCTGAGAAGACTAAAAAGTTGTCGGCCGAGCTTGCAAACGGCAGACTCGCGATGATGGCCATCATCGGAATGTTCTTCCAGGCATCAAGCGAATGATTGCACATGTTCGTTTGCATGTTGCTCATGTCACACAGTCGAACACATGCCGACAAGTGCGATGCTGTGTTTACTTATTTTTACTAACATGCCTTCGCAGTTGTCACGGCGACATGCAGCCAATGCTTAGAGTACATGTGGTTTTGATGTTGGCGACAGTTGAATCGATGTTTATGTTGCGTGTAGGACGGTCTGACCGGAAGCGCCTGGGGAGACTGGGCCAATTACACCGCCTCGCCTCTGCGTGCGTTCGAGAACGAGCTCGGAGTGCAAGACCCTGTTGGATTTTGGGATCCCGCTGGCTTCACCGCAGACGGCAGTGTGGAGAACTTCAAGCGCCGACGCCAGACCGAGCTGAAGCACGGAAGAATTTCCATGCTCGCGACAATGGGATATATTACGCCAGAGCAACTTGATGGCGCGAAGTGATGTCTGCGTAGATGGCATGCACGGGGTGTAGCTTCTGACAGACATCACCATGCATGCATGGAATCTTGATGTATTGTTGCATGCTAGCTTAGCATTGCGTTCTGTAGCTCTGGATCTTGTTTAGTATTCCAGCAAGGATCACGGGCAAGTTCCCTGGGTATCTTTCACCGAGCGCTGGCCTTAAATTCGCGGACGTCCCCAATGGCCTCGCTGCGATCTCCAAAGTTCCTGCCGCAGGATGGGGTCAAATCCTTGCGTACATGGCATTCTGCGAGGTTTCTCAGGACCAGTCGCCCGGCACCCCAGCTGCAGCGGGCGACTTCGGCTTCAAGGTCTTGACCTCCAGCGACCCTGCTGAGAAGACTAAAAAGTTGTCGGCCGAGCTTGCAAACGGCAGACTCGCGATGATGGCCATCATCGGAATGTTCTTCCAGGCATCAAGCGAATGATTGCACATGTTCGTTTGCATGTTGCTCATGTCACACAGTCGAACACATGCCGACAAGTGCGATGCTGTGTTTACTTATTTTTACTAACATGCCTTCGCAGTTGTCACGGCGAAATGCAGCCAATGCTTAGAGTACATCGTGGTTTTGATGTTGGCGACAGTTGAATCGATGTTTATGTTGCGTGTAGGACGGTCTGACCGGAAGCGCCTGGGGAGACTGGGCCAATTACACCGCCTCGCCTCTGCGTGCGTTCGAGAACGAGCTCGGAGTGCAAGACCCTGTTGGATTTTGGGATCCCGCTGGCTTCACCGCAGACGGCAGTGTGGAGAACTTCAAGCGCCGACGCCAGACCGAGCTGAAGCACGGAAGAATTTCCATGCTCGCGACAATGGGATATATTACGCCAGAGCAACTTGATGGCGCGAAGTGATGTCTGCGTAGATGGCATGCACGGGGTGTAGCTTCTGACAGACATCACCATGCATGCATGGAATCTTGATGTATTGTTGCATGCTAGCTTAGCATTGCGTTCTGTAGCTCTGGATCTTGTTTAGTATTCCAGCAAGGATCACGGGCAAGTTCCCTGGGTATCTTTCACCGAGCGCTGGCCTTAAATTCGCGGACGTCCCCAATGGCCTCGCTGCGATCTCCAAAGTTCCTGCCGCAGGATGGGGTCAAATCCTTGCGTACATGGCATTCTGCGAGGTTTCTCAGGACCAGTCGCCCGGCACCCCAGCTGCAGCGGGCGACTTCGGCTTCAAGGTCTTGACCTCCAGCGACCCTGCTGAGAAGACTAAAAAGTTGTCGGCCGAGCTTGCAAACGGCAGACTCGCGATGATGGCCATCATCGGAATGTTCTTCCAGGCATCAAGCGAATGATTGCACATGTTCGTTTGCATGTTGCTCATGTCACACAGTCGAGCACATGCCGACAAGTGCGATGCTGTGTTTACTTATTTTTACTAACATGCCTTCGCAGTTGTCACGGCGACATGCAGCCAATGCTTAGAGTACAATGTGGTTTTGATGTTGGCGACAGTTGAATCGATGTTTATGTTGCACGTAGGACGGTCTGACCGGAAGCGCCTGGGGAGACTGGGCCAACTACACCGCCTCGCCTCTGCGCGTGCGTTGAGCAGCACGGACCTGCCTGAGCGAATTATATTTTATAATATAGTAGGAAAGAGCAGAACAGCCACGTAATTGCTGGCCCGTCCAAGCTCTGAGATATTGCAGAAGCTGATCATCTTGTGCCTAAGTCTTTGAGCCAGCAATCGCGAGAGCGACTCTCTCTGCAGTCTGTTTTGCATCCGAGCAGCGAGCTCGTCAAAGGGGGCTGGCAGGGCTGGGGAGACCCATAGTCCATCATAGTCCTCAGTCCCGCACACCTACGTGAGCAGGCTTTTGGAGGTACGGAGGTTGCCACACAAGGTTGTACAATTGCGGGGTTGCGGAGGCGCGGCCCAAAGTCAGACCCAAAGCAACTTGACGTCCGAGGTTTCTCAAGGTGCATCTGTGTAGTCTGGCTTCTGCATCTGAGCTTGAGTTTCGTTCTTTACAATCCGCTGCGGCCAGTAACCAGCTCCGTGGTGATCGTAGCACCAGACCTTCGGCTCCCCACGGCCCAGCTGCGCAGCTTCTTGTCCATACCTTGGTCCCTTGGTCTCCTGGCTCTTGGCAACACTTGGTTCCGATGTTTTGGTCGTGAAAGGATCCTGAACTGGACTCTTTTGCACGCAGGGCTCGCATCCCCCGAAGAGACCGTCGGCTCTCAAGAAGAGGCAGGATTTTGAATCCGGTTTCTCGCGGCGACCTTGTTGCCCATCTTGCACCTACGAAAGAGCCAGCCGCCACCACCTACGACAAAGATTTGTTCGTGCAGTTGGACTGGATTAGCAGCTACACATCACAACACGATTTCAAGCTGGGGGTGCTGCAGAGGTTGACAGCTGCTGGAGTTGGTGTGGCAAAAGCAAGCTCTCTTGAAGCCTCGCTGACAGTTTTCGGCAGACTCCAGCTGGCTAGATGCAAAGCACTAAGCCCTGATCCCAAGAGTACTTTGAGCGCGCCCCTCGCCCGGAAGGCACACGGCGTTCAAGTCCGGGGGTCCACCAGCAGAGAAGGCCCGCGCTTCATATGATTTCCAGCCTGTTGTAGGGAGGGGGTCCTAAAGGGGCTCTCATACTTCTGTGAGGATGTCTGAGGGGAGGCAGAGATCCGCAAAGATGCGAGATCCACAAAGAACACAGTACCCGACTAGGCGCCGCTGGAATCGACCCAGCGGAAGGGTGCCGTGCCACGGCCGATAATCTTCTCGGCTTCAGGGTGTTGGGCATTGTTTGGATTTTTTGGGCTGCCGTAGGACGTTGCAGGAATTCGTGTGCTTGGGTTTGAGGCTTTGTGGCTCTGAGCTTGAAGAGCCGCTAAGAAGGCAGCTGCTCAAGACGAGACTCCTGAAGGTAAGGTTAGTCACTGTTAGTCATGAGCTCGACTTCTAAGTACCAGACTGTAAGTATGTGTCCCTAGGCCTTGAACCACACCCACCCACACCCAGACAAACTCACAGACTGACAGACTGAGGTGCACACCCGTACGCACACACGCAGACATTCGGACACGCAGATGCACACACAGAGACATTATGCGCACACCCACGGACATGCGGACAGACGGACGAACAGACAGCCAGCCAGGCAAATGCATGCAGACACAGACACGGACACAGAGACACGGACACAGAGACAGACAGACAGACAGACAGACAGAGACAGACAGACAGACGGACAACCAGACGGACAGACAGACAGACAGAGAGACAGACAGAGAGAGACAGAGAGAGACAGAGACACAGACAGACAGACGGAGACATACGCGCGCAGGGGCATGCGCACACAGACATGTGCAGATAATGTTATGCCATAGTATACAATTAAATAACTATCTGTATGCATGTATATATGGTATACAAAGACATGTGGAAGGCACGGCCGACAGCGACCAAGTCGGCGCCCTTGCAGCCTTCGAGGCCTCCAATTTCGGGAGAGCAAGCAATTTTGGGCGTTGCTGAATTTTGAACTCCAAGACCTTGAGCCTCCGACCTAGCCGATAGTTGCCTTAAGCGTATTTGGCGGGTAGTCTTGAGGGTCGAGTCACGCATCGCCCCTATTGCTCGCGCGGATCTTGCCAGAGAAGTTCTTCGCACCTAACACACATACACACAGCTTCGACCTAATCACAGCTCAAACGGATGCATCGACAAGACCCCAATTGCCCTGAACCCACACCAGCCCTTGCTCCAAAGCGTTCGTTCTTACAAAAGGCCGCAGCCACCGCCCAAGAGGCGGAAGGCCCGCGCAGCACATTCAGAGAATGGGAGCCGGAGCTGTGCACCCGGATATGAAAGATCCTGAAGCCTTGGGCCCCAAAGCAGACCGAACTGAAGCCTAACGCTGATGACGCCCAGAACGTTAAGGCTTGTGTAGTGGGTTTCGGCTGTGTTTAGGGTGCCCAACTACCCTCGTCGTGATCTAGCTGTCGCAGCTGCAGTTCCACAAGCAAGAACTGTACAGCCCACGATCGACTGCCGGCTTCTTCCTGCTAAGCCTCCGCAGTTGCAGATCGCCGATTCGGCCGATGTTCCGGCTCCGTCCGAAGAAGTGGTTGCTGAGGCACGCTCGGCCTCCGGTTCATTTGGGCATAATGCAACTAGGACCGGGACTGGGGCTCAGAGAGATTGTGAGGCGCAGGGATGTCTTACGTCAGTTGTGTCGTCTCGAGAGCGCTGCCGAATGGGCAAAGGAAAGGAGGGCTTCGAAGGGCCTGGAAGGGAGCCGGGAGCCTCGAAGTCTCCAAGTGCCCCAATGACCTCGGCCACAAAGCCTCAACCCTGAAGGTGAAGTCCTAAGTGCCACCAGCCCCCCCCAAGCCCGAAGCACGCTCCTCTCCGCAAGCCTCTTCCTCAAAGTCACCCGCAAATGGTAAAGCCGAAACATGCCGAAACTCTGATCCCAAGCCCTGAACCTAAGCCCCTAAAACTGATGAAGCCCTATGCCCACACACATGTATGTGGCTATGCGCTTGTCCTAAGATTTTGCTAACTTGGTTGTTAAGTGTGTCAGGACACACAAGGGGGGGTAAGGGGTCGGGGGTGGGGGCGGGGGGGCTGATAGCGTCCGGTTTGATTTCAGTCCCTGGAACCCTAATCCGTGTACCGGTGAGTGCCGCAGGAGGCTTCAGGTGGAAGCAGGTATGGCTTCGAGCTTCAGGTCTTGTTCCCCAATAGCCACCACGTTTGGGGTCGATCACATAGCTGGTCCCCGGACGCGTCGACCTCAAGCTTGGGGAAAGCGCCCAAACGTCTAGGCAACAGGTGTCCTGGGCTTTTGTCAATTCGGGTCGGTGTCCCGGTCGTGGTGTCCCGGCGTCGGGTTCCGTTGCGGTCGCGTGTCTTGTCGTGGTCTCCTGGTCGTGAGCCGGTCTGATGACGTGGTCGGTGTCCTGATCGTGTCCCGCTCGTGTGTCCCGGGCGAATCCGGTCAAGTCCTACAACGTCAAGCACAACAATCACCAGTTCGTCAAGAAGATCCGTCTCAAGGATGGACGTACAGTCTTGACAGGCACGCAGTGCACAGCCCGTTGGTGGCAGTCTTCAAACAAATATGTACCATGCACTGTCAAGTGTCTTGCTTGGTGAGCATACGCTTACTGGAGCATGTCTACAGCTTTGTCTGGAGTTGCCAACTGGGCAAGCAGGCCGACTTCGCCACACACTTGAGCCGAGTGTGCTGAAAAGCGTGCCCTAAGTTTTAGTTACCACGATGGAACCGTCAGACATACACCCCAGTCTTGTGGCGCCACGTGTCCACATACTGACGTGTGACGCCCTAAGCACCAAGTCTTAAGCCCTGCAACCCGAAAGCCGAATTCCTGGCCGCAGGTAGCGAAGGCTTCGCCTCCGAGTCTGAGGCCACCACCGGCCGCCGCGGCACAGCTGGTCACAAAGGCACCATTAGGGTTTAGGGTTTAGCGTGTTCTTGAGTTTGGGTTTGTGTCGCAGGCTGCAGGGTTCAAAAGTTGGCGTGGCACGTTGGCGAAGTCTTACCAAAGACTTTTTCGCCGCTACCTGCAGTTTCAATCCAGTACTGAAATTGCATGGCATACCCTTCGTACGGCTTTGGTAAAGTACGCGGTCTTTATGGGAAGACGTGAACACAGCAGAAAGCATGAGATCATTCACGGTGGCTCCCAGTGTTTCCTTCATGTCTTGAAGTGGGGGAGCAATCAAGCTTCTACTACTACACTACTACACTACTACACTACTACACTACTACACTACTACACTACTACACTACTACACTACTACACTACTACACGACTACACTACTACACTACTACACTACTACACTACTACACTACTACACTACTACACTACTACTCTACTACACTACTACACTACTACACTACTACACTACTACACTACTACACTACTACACTACTACACTACTACACTACTACACTACTACACTACTACACTACTACACTACTACACTACTACACTACTACACTACGACACTACGACACTACTACACTACTGCACTACTGCACTACTGCACTACTGCACTACTACACTACTACACTACTACACTACTACACCACTACCCTACTACGCTACTACGCTACTACGCTACTACGCTACTACGCTACTACGCTACTACGCTACTACGCTACTACGCTACTACGCTACTACTACTACACTACTACACTACTGCTACTGCCACCACTACTACTACTACGACTACTACTACTACTACTACTACTACTACTACTACTACTACTACTACTACAACTACAACTAAGCACCTGGGCTCGAACGACGAAACGTAGTGTGTGTGTATGTGTGCGTAGAAGTAGGCCGCAGGATGGTGCACCCATACCTCCTCCTCCTTCTGGCCTTACTTCCCCTTTCCAATCCCCACTTCCTCTATCTGAAAGCCGCTGGGTCCAAACCTACGCCCCTGACCGGTGTGCATTGGCGCGCGAGGCACGCGCCCCAGCCTGCACGGAGACATTGCACCAGCAGGAGCAGTCAGACCATTCCATGCCTACTGTCTGCTGGCTGTCCTACCTACACCTGCAGGCTCAAGCTGTTGTCTAGCTCTTGCTGGGTCTCTATAATCCCACACGGCCCTGCTGTACCATGTCGCAAACGCCATCAGGTGCCCCGTCAGCGGCGGCTGGATCGCCTCCACCTCCAGAACACGCTGACCTCACAGCGGCGTTGGCCAGCCTACATCAGACCTTGGACGGCACCATTGTCAGAGAGCGATATCGAGCTGGTCTGCATAATCAGGTCTGGAACACCAACAACTGGTACTCCATCGGCACAACTTTGGCTACACGTCCTGGTCCTCCACAGACCACGACCGAGCTCAGGGAACCTCAGTCATCTCTGGCCCAACCAGGATCCCCAGACTCTATCGACACGGCGGACCTCCTGGCAGCAGCGGAGGAAGCAGAGCGGACCCTTGCCTCACTGGCAAGAACTCCCGGGCCAGCTATGTCTGCCGGCTCCACTCTTCCAATACGCGCCCGCTCGAGATCTCGTTCCCCTACAGGACCGACGACTTCTACCCAGGCCTCAGGTCCGCAATCGCCTCAAGACAAGCCCTGCTGAGTGCCGCCATTACCAAGCGACCTGGAACCGCAGTACCGACCCAGAGGCTGCAACAGGAAAAGGACCCCCGTGGCTCACGTCCTTCAGATGTGTCCCTATCCTCCTTGGACCCCACTCCTGCCTGCCCCACCTCTGCCTTGGCCCAGGTACCTCCACCGGAAGGACATTTCAGCCCGACGCCTGCGCAGTAGCCAGTGCCTGCCGGAGTCTCTTCACCTCTGCCCGTGCACCCAGGCTAGAGGAGTCCTCGCCTGCGGTGGTCTGTCCCTCGGACCAGCCCACATCTTACACATGTGCCGCTGATTCTGTCTTCCAACTTGCTGACAGGGACATTGCACCTGCCGAGTCGGTGCCTCAAAGCCATCACAAGACCCTACGGACGCCGTTCGCCACGACTGTCCTTAGCTGCAATGAAAGCACAGACTCGCCCCTGCAGGTTACTCCAGACCACCTGCTTACACAGCCCAGGCCGACTCCACAGCCCAGGCGCCAACTGCCCTCCTCCCTACAGGAGGTCTGCACCGCTCCTCTTCCCTGGCTCATTCCACCTCTGCCGCAGCTGGCTGCCTCTCAAACTGCCGGCCACACCAGGCTTTGCCTTGCCAGTGCACCTAGGACCTCATCGACCATGCCGCGCTCGGATGGCAAACGCAGGCGAGACCAGTCCCGCCCTGGCAGGCTTAATCGCCTATACACCCAGGACATCAGAGCAGCCCGACATCCCAGAGAAGCAGTGCCTCCGCCCCGCACGATCTATGCTGAGGCTTATTACCACAGATCGGCAGGCTGGATGCAGCGCATACATGAGGAGCTCATCCGGGAGCAACTGGACGAGACGCGTACCACCCGGTCTTCTGGAACACTGCGACTCAGGTCCATCAGCCGCTCTCGCCCAAGATCTCCTTCTATCCTCCCTGATCCCAGGACCAGAGCTACCTCACGACCGCGGAGATCACGCAGCGCCGAGCCTTGCCGAGTCGACTCCCGAGGTGCTTCGCCCAGGCCACTTTCCAAACAAGCACGGCCTCGAGGTACACCGTCACCGCCCAAGAAGCCGCGGAAGCCTACTTCGCCTAGCAGTACACCAAGGAAACTGGAGAACCCCCCTGGGAACAAGACTCCTTCATCCTGCAGACCTGCTAGGACGCCCACAAGACCAAGACCGCGACCCAAAATCCCAGGACCTCCACCTATGCCGCGGATCCTGCGCAAGCAATGGCGAGCCGACCAAGGTAAACAACAGGATGAGGACAGCTACTCCTACTACACGGACTCTGAACCGGCGCCAGCCAAACCCTCTCAGGCTGATCGCTCCCGTGAGCCCCGGGCACCACCTGCCCCTGGAACCAAGGGCAGTCCTCTTCAGGCGGGTGAACTCATCACCCGACTCCTCCAGTCTCCCGCGAGACCTAAAAGCCCGCACTCCTCCTCCTCGCAGTCCTCTACCAGCCCTGCCCAAGACTGTCGGTGCCCCAGTACCACTCATGTTCGGCAAGCTCGACCTGTTTTCTATGCCATGCCTGCCCCAAGGAGAGCCAACGGCTGCTGGTCTTACTCTCAGCTTCGCGAAGATTCTCCAGCCACGACACTGCCTGCGCTGACCCGCCGAAAATTATCCAAAGTCAGAGTAGCGTGTCGGCACCACCTGCCGCGATTCTCTCCACCAGCCCAGCCTCCTGGGCCCTGTCCTGCAGGGCATCCGTCGCGGCCACTGTCCGCGGTCGCAATCCCGGGCACCGCCAGTCTCGGCCTGAGCCCTGCTGAGTACTGCACCTCCATGGTATGCTGCACACAACATGGTCTGCAAACCGTAGTGGTGGCCCAAGATTGTCAGGGACCCCCTAGGAGCCTCTGCGAAGCCTGCCCTGGCACATGGCACCTCGGGACAAGGATCGCACACCGAGACGGGGTGCGGCGGCGGGTTCCGCTGCTCTGGCCACCCGAGCTCGAGGACGGGGCAAAGGTCTTGCGAAGGCTAAGTCCAAGGCGGCTCCAGAAGAAGAGGAGAGCTCCAGTGAGAGCTCCAGCGAGGCCAGCAGCCCGGCGGAGCCGTAAGCCTGCCTTCGGCGACAACAGGGTCGACTCCCCGAGGGCCTCCACCTCCCACTCCGGTCAATCTCCCGCGGGACAGATCGAGAGCCAGATCGACCACTCCTCTTCCAAGGCCGACTACCACAGGATCGGCGGCGGACACTGCATCACCTGCGGCCGTTGCGGCGACCACCTCGCATCCCATGCTGCCACCCCCGCTACCACTTCCAGCAGCGTCAGCAGCGCGGCCTCCAGCGATGGCCCCACCAGGGGGTGACACCACGCCGACCCCCTCGCCTACAGCATCTCGGCCACCTGCACCTGGACCACATGGAGCAGCGCATGGACCGCCTCCGCCTACCCCGGCTGGGCCCCACCATGGAGGACCTGCTGGCAGCCACACAGGAGGAGGAGGACCTGCTGGAGCACCACCCGTGCCGAGGCCTCGCCCGGTGCGAGCGGCCGGCTGGGTGCCAGGATCTACAGGCTGGACCATCACGATCCACATCCGACCCTGTGCCCCATAGGCATTGGCACTTCTGCATGACGCCTGGAGCTGCCCTTCTTCCGGTTCACTCGGACGCCGCGATACAACAGCCTCAAAACAACCGAGCCTCCGCCAGAAGATGCCTCGTGCGCAATCTGCTACAACCGAAGCTGTCCATGCTACCTAAGGGGTCCGGTCAAGGGTTCTGCCACCCCTGCTCTCACTCTCAGGCCGGCGCCGCTGGAGCCATCCCATTCAGCCGGGACCTTACTGCTGCAATGGCCCGACTGACCTCCCTGCCGGGAGTGCTGACACTGCAGGCTGGAACCTCTAACAATGCCCAGTGCGCCAACCAAGCTCGGGCAGACTGTCTCTGCTCCACCAGAGCTGGAACCTGTGCCCCGCATTGGCACCGATCTCAACACCTGTGCACAGGTACCCCTGACAGGTCCTCCCCACCCTCAGGAGCAGCAGACCACAGCCCTGCACCAGATATGCAGCGACCTCGGCCTCCACCCTGCTTTGTGAGCCGCCCGGCTGTGCAGGCACTAGTGTCGGTGCGAATCGCATCTCACCCCTGCTGGCTCAAGCGCTTGCATCATCCTTACATACTGCAATATACATGCATGACAGCGCGGGTGACTCGAAGACTGTCAAGACTCTCTCCCCTTACGACGAGTGCCGACAATTCTCCGCAGGACCTCCAATGTACTGCCGTAGGTAACATAAGTTTGCCTAGACCTAGTAGCCCTGGCTCCAGTGCCCCCTGCGTCTGGCACTGTGTAGCATGGCACCAGTCATCCCGATTAAT